CTTGCACTACGTGTGGCTCTAAGTGGTCCTTAACTTTTTTGAGTTGTAATAATATAACGTTATTACCCGAAACGTTCACATTTCAAAGAAGGGAAGTAACTCTGTAATAAATAAATAATTAATTGGGGATTCACGAGTGACAGGAGTGCCGACACACATAATCCAGTGAGAAGTCATATATTTTAATGAAGCGGAATACCTAATCTTCTTACTAAACACTACCCCCCCCCCTCCCCATCCTATTTCTTCTGAAGCATTCAGACCAGATTCTTCCTTAGGGCTATACAATACATGTCTTTGGATCCTTTTTCTCCACGCAGTCAACCCATAGTGTACCCTTTTCTTTATCTCTGTATCAGGCTCCTTTATCATTACAATTTTGTTCAACTTATTTTTTACTCTATAAGTATTTGAGAATAATTTCAATGGCTGTTTAATTAAAGGAATTGAGTCCTTTAAATTCCCTTACATGAGATAAATAAATGGACTAAAGATTAACGTTATCAAGCTTATGGCATCCCATACATGAATTACCCTCACTCAACACTCACATTTAAACATTTAAAAAAGCCTAAAAAAAGACAAATAAAACCAATCTTTAAAATTATACATATTCTTTATTCCTTTTATAATATAATAGAAATATAATATTAAACATTGATTTCACTATAAGAAAAAATATCATCAAGTTTGACGTCTTCATGAAGAAACAAAAATAAAAAAACAAAAACAAAAATCCCACAAAACAACTGAGACAATATTCAAAACGACACAATCAAATGTTGGATGTAACAGGTGGACACAGGGTAGAAGGATATATCATCTCAAAACTCAATGCAAGAAACAAAGTAGCAAAAGATGGAAAGTCTGTGTGAGAGGAGACGCTGAGCAAGTTTTATATCAAAACGAGGAATGAGAGAGTATACTAGGAAATGAGGGATGATTAGAAATCAGGGATGATTTAAAAATGAATTGTCTCTTATTTAACTTTGCATTGTTTGACATATTTTACAGGGGCTTGCTTTCTTCTCAGCTCAGCTGTCCTGTAGATAAGAGTCTGAGCTCAAATAATTATTATGACTTTTTTCTCTCTCAGATCTCATGGTTTTAAAACTTAATGGATACAAAGCTGTATACCACATTTGAATAGTTTTTTTATCGTAAAATGTAAAATGTTTTTGAGCACAGAAATGAAAATTCTCAGGCCCTATGGAAAATTTCCGTATGGATTTTTTAACATTATTATCTAAACTAATATATTAGACTATTTATCATGATCTAAACTATTATTTAAGATAAATACTGAATCTTTTTCTCTGTGTCTAGAATGGACTAAGACTCCTGGGCAGCTAATGTGAAAACAGGATTTTCTAACTGAGGGGATTGGGAGCGGAGTTTCCTTTGAATGGAAGAGAAATATCATGGGACAGGGGCTAAAATGTAGGTGGAGCCTTCTTCCCCCCTCCCCCCCTCTCTATTTTCAGTGCTTGCATTCACACATGTGTGGGTTTTTGCATGTGTGTAAGTGTATTTGGTTTGATGTGTGCATGTGAAAGAAAGAAAAGAAGAGAGAGAGAGAGAGAGAGAGAGAGAGAGAGAGAGAGAGAGAGAGAGAGAGAGAGAGCCGAGAGAGAGAAAGAGAGAGCTGAGAGAGAGAGAGAGAGAGACAAGAGAGAGAGAGAGAGACGAGAGAGAGAGAGAGAGAGAGAGAGAGAGAGAGAGAGAGAGAGAGAGAGAGAGAGAGAGTGAGTTCTTTAAAAAAATTAAGAAAAGCTTGGTGGAGAGGGAGGGGAGGGCATGATTGCACAGGGGTGGAAAGGGGGGGGGGGGGGTGTCGAGAGGGGAAATGGGCCTGGGGCAGTTAAGGAACAGGATAACAATGTTTTTGCAGGCACTTTTGATGGGTGGCTCATAACACAATGTGACAGAATGATAGCATGCAAATGAGTGTACAGAGATTTTATGTTTGTTTATTTGTTTGTTTTCATTCTTTGAAGTTCATCTTTTTGTATGCACATTAACACAACAAGGTTACATATGCATGTGAATGTGGAGTTTGTCTGTCCTTGAGAATGCATCCACATGATAAGAGTATGGAGCTTAAGAAGAATATGGAAATAAAAGAAAAAAAAACCATAGTTGTAAATTAACAAGTAGAATGGCAAGAAGAAATTGACAAGAGATGATTAACACATGGACAGGCAGTTCTTCACGCGAAAAGAGAGATCATTTCATTAGAAATAAGACGAATAAATTGAAGGGTCTGTGAATAAATAGGCATACTAAGAGAGAGAAAGAGAGTGTGAGAGAAAGAGAGAGAGAGAGAGAGAGAGAGAGAGAGAGAGAGAGAGAGAGAGAGTGTGTGAGAGAGAGAGAGAAAGAAAGAGAGAGAGAGGGAGAGAGAGAGAGAGAGAGAATGAGAGTGGGAGAGAGACAGTGGACAAAGAAAAACATAAGAAATATCGCGAAGACAAATAATAACAAACATAATCATAATTAAATGTATAACCGTAGGCATTTCATTTCATCGACACATGACTAAGAAAACGCCAAACCTGGCAAAAACCAGTTTCCAGAATGTTACAATATTCACATATAGAAAGGAATGCTCCTGTAAGAAAATGGATTTTCAGGGGGGAACAATTACCATATACACAGATCTTATATTGCACTTATAGCTCAAGTGAAATCAAACTGTATAATTTGAGTGGATGTAGAAATGTCTGCAAACGGAATAAATACAAACCAATTATCAACAAAATGAGCTCAGAAAGAATTAAAACAAAGGAATGGAAGTTAAATTTTATAACAGTAAAATCTCACAGCAGAATGGAGCAAAATCAGACTCAAGAAGCACAGAGTAAATAAACTTAAACATCATAACCATATTTTGATGACGACAACAGAGGATTGCACATTCTACACTGATGTCATTAAATCACTGTAACATCAGCTATAACAATACACTGAGAGAATGAGGGCAAATACTCATCAACTTTGGGGTGTTTGACTAGAGGTAACTACAGCAATGACACATTCATAGGGTAAGCTGAGAAAGCCTTCACTGTTGTACAAGGTGCTATGCACCATATATCAAATCCTTAGGTCCACTAGAAAAGCCATTATTTTTAGGACGAGAAATTTGCATTTCAAAGAAAGGACAAAACGTTCACAAATATAAAGAACCACTCTCAAAACTATGTATTGATATTTAAGGACCTTTGAAAGGAATATCAGTACTTTATGTGTTAGTTCATGTCACTACAGATAAAGTTGAACCGAATAGGCCTATGGTATCTGGTTTTTCAAGCAATCAGTAATATAATATTGTAAGAAGTGTGAAATTGTTTTTGAATGACTGTGGAAAGACTCTAGCATTTAGTACAACACTGAATCTCCGTTTTGAAGACAGAAAGCAATTCGAACATTCATAATTCTTTCAAATTTCTGTACTTGGCAACTGTTACCTGTTTTAATTTGCAGGTCCTTTTAGCACTTCATCCCTTGATCTGCACCTAATCGCTCCTTTCAAATTCTCCTGAACTGCTCCCTATCTGCTCCCTAAATTTCATGGTGAATTATACGTAGACAGTGTTGGTTACACAAATCATTTACAGAGTGTCAAGAGATAAATTTTTCCTTCTACACAAATAAGCTGTTCACTTGATTTTGCATTGGTAGCTACATTTGCAATGCCCATAGTCTTGTCTGGTGAGATCCTTTTCTTTTTAGTTTTAAACGTCATTTTTGTTGATAATGATTAAAAAAAGATTTGATAAATGTGGGCATCACAATATCTAAAACATTACGCTTTCTTGTTCTGTAGCCACCGCGGAATAAATGTTTCTAAAGGAAAATAAATTTGATCAATAATTATATTTTTTAATGACATTTTCCCTGTGCATAACACTATTTCTTACGATAATATATCACCAATAAATCAGGATTCAGGGGAAGAGATTGACGGAAAAACTCAGAGGAATGAGTGTAAAATACACAGTAAATATTAACAAGTCCTGACTAGCTGAGTTAGTAGGCCTATTACTTATTTCAATACCATAGGCTGCTTTCATTTTGGAGGCCTACAGCTTGTACTAAAATTCTTTTTCCCAAAGCGAAGTAATTGATAACTTTTCAAATTATTCTTATGTACTGGTATGAAGTGAATATTTTCACTATTATAAAACATTTAGCATATTACATTCAGGTAGCTTTTCTCCCAATATATCCAATATTATGGCTAGAATATCTCTTGTAGAGCGCTAATATGCTGAAAAGGTAAAAATGGTAGGAGAATACGACTAATTAGAAAGGGGAATCTTTGCTACAGATTTTACTAAAGTGAAATAATGAAGCCCTGGAAACACTGCTTTACTTGAAAATGTAGTGTGCTGAAAACATGATTTTTACAGTTGACTACTCGTCACACTATTATCCAGGGTAACAATATGTAGGCTTTCGGATTTGACAAATAAAAGTAGGCCTATGGCTTACTCTGACTCTGAAAGCTTGATGCTGACACTATATTTTCGGCACTCACTTGTTAAACATGGAGTATTCATTAACTGAGGGAAATAAATCATCAACAGTGTGATTGGCCTAATAATTATTGAGCAAGTCCAAATAAAAGGACATGATATGCTTTACACAATATGAGGTACAGAAATAAAATCAAAACCAAAAAAAAATGTAGAAAAGAATGGGATGCTGTAAAGGCTGAAGATATTTCATATGTCACAACACGATTGTAAAACTGCCAGTCTTTATCAATGGTAAATTTAAAGCAAAGACCACGGGTCACCTTGAGCAGCAGAAATTAACAGTACATCAAAACAAGACACCTTGAAGCAAATATCACATGTCATCGCTGTGATTCACAAACACAATAGAAGCATTCTTTTCTTCAATGCAGTTTCTGGGTTTATGAATTACATCGACAATGCAGTGCCTTAAAAGCTTAACAATGTTTTAACCCTACCAGTGCTTCAGAGTGAGTTCTCTTTTTTTTTCAATTGTAAATTTTCTAACAATTATGATTTACAAGGGGGATCTCACAGTTCTTTTCTTGTAACTGTTAAGATGAACATAAACATCAGGGGCAGACTATATGCTTACATTATGCCTCAATTTGTGCAACAACTTACATAAAGCCACAGATTTCTCAGGATCAAACTTCATTTCAGAATAAAATGTGAATATTATAAATCTCAGGATTATGTCAAGGTGAAATGTTCAAATACAACATACATCACTTGGTCAGGAATGTTTAAAAAGTGAGTTGGGTCATTTGGCATCTGTCACTTTCATCACACATTTTCAGGTATTACAACATAACTGAAAAGAGAACATTAAATATTGCACCTGCATTGCTGACTTTTACAGTAAGAGGAAAGCTGGGCTGTTGAGTTACAGTAAAAAAAGGGAGAAGGAAAAGTTGGTGAGAGAGCTAGAATGGATAGAAAAGAAACATAAAAGCTACAAAAGCTCTCAGATTAAATTCTTTGATTTACATTTTTACATAATGTGCATACTTTATGCCCATCATTAAACAGAGCAATATAAAATTAAATACCTGAATAGCATACAGCTTTGGGCACTTCACAGATGCTGTACAAAACCAAAGGGAAAATAATCTGTGCTTACAGTTAAATATATATTACATGATGAGAGAGCATACAATTAACTTATGCTGGCAGGCATAATCTAGCTTATCAAGTTAAAAGAATTTCAACAAGCTGATTGTTTGGATGTTAGACAAAAGTATTTCAAACATACATGGATATATTAATATATATAACATAAACTCATTAATGATAACATGTTATATCATCTTTATTTAGTACACATATGCATTTTGTTGCTCCCTCATGTCTACCTTTTCTTTTAGTAAGGATCTAATTGAAGTTTTGCGGAAGAGAGTTTATGTCTTTGTCTTTAGTTTAAGTCATGGTACAGAAGCTACCACTTTTTACAGTTAAAGGAAGTTAAGTTAAATTAGTCCTATTGATGAGAAAAAATGAAAGAAAAATGAAAGAATCTGCAATCTTATTTAGACAAGAAATTTCTTATAGTGCTTCTTGTGTTTCTACCTCAGTTTGAGCCAATATCATGTTGACTAACACAGAGAGTAAGATTGCACACCCTGATGGCAATGTCTAATATGATGAAATTAATAACAAGTATGACAAAAATAACAAGAGAGAAAGGCATGTCTCATTGCACAACCCAGTACACCAAAAGGCAAGAGAAAATATTAAACAATCAATATTTGAAAGCATCGTATGCAACAAACATACATTCATCGAGTTCAGACTGTCATTTAAATATATATAACATACAAGCCTTTTACCAGAGTTTTTCTAGATTACAAAAACACAAAACTAGGGAGTAAAATTGTTTATAAGACTTGCACACAGGATGCCCAACCCTAAAACACTATCAGTCATAAACACACTGAAAGCTTTAAGTTGAAAGCCATCTTTATTCTCTACAAATAAATTTAGAGTCTCCAGTTTAAAAGAGCTACAAACGCATTTATCCTTGTCGTTTAACACAAACATTCACACTGTCACTTTCATCTTTTCACTTCGCTACCATAACCATACTGCTGTTCAGTATAGAAACTCATACAACCAAATACAATACTAATACTATTTCTAAAATATCATTCAATCTTACTTCATGGAGCAGCTACATTAAAATTTGAAATCATGTAAATCCAGTTATTAGTATTATGCATTTTTCATATTCTCTCCTCCCCTTTGCGAATGAAGGCACTACAAATTTGGAAACATATATATCTATTAGCACATAGCTACAAATGTTTCAGTTTTAATTTTCATATCTGAGCTTGGAACAGAAAAAAATTAACATGACAATTTAAACATGATACGTTGTCAGTTATCTAAATGACTAGAACAAACTAAATTAGAGATTTGTGAATATTAGTAATGTTGAAAAATATTTCAAGATTTACTGTGCTTACTCTTGAAACACAAAAGTTTTTGTAAACAAACTCTCAAGGTAACAGGAATGTGAGATAAATTTTTGATAAAATCAATGACTGACATATGATCTAATTTGGAAAATATGAATACTTATAATCATTTTACTTGAGCAAACTGCAACTATTCTTGAAAATCACATTTACAGATTTAAAAAAGGTTAGAATTGCCAAATTTCTATGAACATCAAAAGAAACACATACAGGATTATGAAAGGTAAAGAAGTAAGATGACAAGAGAGAATACAGTCTTAAAAGAACAATCTTTATGTTTAAGAATGTTGCAATTAAAGCTGATCTTAAACACTTTGCGGTCACTTGGCGCAGCAATGCCCTGGTGAAAATTATGCATTCTGGCCACCTAGCGTAGTTCTGCGCCAGACTCGAGAATTCTGTTGCAGTCACTCTCCTGGTTCAGTGACCGGATGGAGTATTTTGTGCTGCTGGCTGTGTGACTGCAAAGTGTTACGTTATTCTTTTTTACAGTATTCTCAGAGAATCTGCAATCTAGAGATACTAATAAGGGTGATCTGAGGTTCACTTTTATAGTCTCAACAAAATATGTCATGAAAACATAGAAAAAAATGCCATTTGTGATCAGCTTTGCCATGGCAGCTAAGAGGGCATCCATTTTTCCACTCAAAAACCTCTTTGGATTCATCCACATAATCGATCACAAATATGTATACATACATGATGTAAAGTGCATATACACGCATTTGCAACAAATACCACTAACATATCTTTTTATCCATCATTTAATCTTTTACCATCCAAACACGCTCAGGCATTCTAAAATACACAAAGAAATACCAAGCAAATCCTTTATGTACAGTTTCAAGTTTCAAAGCCAGCGACTCAACTGCCTAAAAATGTATTCTGAACTCCAAACACAGATATTATCTCACTACAATGAAGATGTCGTAACAAGAGGGGGGGGGGGGGGGGAAAGCACAAGAAATAGCACAAGCTGTCTTTCATTTCCTGTAAGACAGACAGACAAAATATTGACAAGACAATACACAAGACTATTTTTAAGACTTAACAGTAACAAGATCATATTAAAACATACAGTCTGTCATTGAGAGGCTTTAATAAAAGGTGAAAAAATCTGTGGAAACATGAACTGCTTCACCACAGCTGCAAGCAAAGTATTTTTACTTCAAAAGATCATAGTAATTTCACAACGGTATAGATGAAACATGGCTCTTTTCATTCAATACAAGCCATAATTACATTGATATTTTGTCAAATATGACAAAATACATGTACAAAGAATGATAAAGCTCACAAAGGCAAGTTGTGGTTTCAGATTATCAATCTGGATTACACTCTTTTATTTTACACAAAAAAGATTAGATCAAGTATAATGAATGACTGAACCATGTGTTAAAAATAGACAGGACACTGTCACTCCGTTCTGTTTTGCTGTTCGCACCAATGTAACCAGACTCTCTTACTCACACAATAGGAAGAGACTAAGCTTGACTGAACTAGTGATTGCACCTCAAAATATATAGGTAAAATGACTGAAATTTCTCCTGTTCTTGGAGATATCAAAATCATATCTTCTCTTTTCACAAACTAGATACAAAACACGTGTTGGCCATCACAGTCTTTCCCACATTTCAGTGCTCACCTCTCCTTTCATGGATTGATTAGCAATGCACAATCTCAGAGCATTGGTTTTTCTCACATAATATTCCCCAGTGACATAAATCTCTTGAACCAGATAGCATTCTGTCAGTCGATTCCATATTTTCATCCACCTCATTGACAATGAGCTTTGCTGCAACTACAACTAATGTTGGCCTTGTCATTGCACTGCAACATCGATGCAGTTGTAAGGAAGTTACTTTGAGTTCTATAAAGACTTGCAGAGTTAAAACTCATTTAAAAATAAATTAGCAATGAATTATTCCCAAAGGTGCTGAGAGGACTATACATCATTTCATTAAGGCCATTGAAACTACACTTGCCCTGAAAAGGCTTAAAAGTGAGCTATATTTCAAAAAGATATCTTGATGCATGATGAGGGAATATTTCTAAAATTGGGGAAAAACAACCAGTTTCAACAAAATAATTTTGTTCTTATCATGTAAGAATTTAAGTGGCAAGAGCTGAGTACTGATAATAAAATCCAAGCCCATAAATCTACATTACGGAAGGATGTGAAAACTAGGAACCACATTTTTCTCCATTCTTTTACACATAGCAAAATCTCGCTAAAACAATCCAGTCATCAAGGTGGTTGATAAAAGCTCTCTTCTCTTCGTAGGGAAGAGAAAATGAATCTACATGCTTGTAGAAAGATCTCTTGAAACAAAACTTGACTCCTTTCACTTTCCTCTGTTGCAGGGACTTGAAGGATGACAGCGCAGGGATTGTTCAGAATTGTTGCTGCTCTATGCTGCTGCTAGTTGCTCAGTTCTGCTGCAGCAGTAGCTGCTCCAGCTCGTCTGCTGACCTGTAGAGGAAGGCAGCCGACTCACGATAGCCGGCGATGAGCTGCTTGATGGCGGTGACCTCCGAGGAGCTCAGCTGGCCTTTGTTTGTCGACTTCTTCATACTAAGATCTGTGGGCCCTGAACAGGACGAAGCAAAGGTAGAATGTTGGATAGAGGTTGAATGAATAATTAGGGCTGCTTTAAGTAGAGGTGTTCATTAAAGGCTTAAGTTCCCAAATATAGTGTCAAATGAACTGAATAAACAAAAAAAAATCACAGAAAATGAGAATGGTAAAATCTAGTAGGCATACATATACCATTGACAGTAATGTGTATTTGCGATTTAGAAGTTGAAAAGATTCATTCTTAGAGGGTACAAAATTCTTGGACTAATATTTCTTTTTTCTATACGTACAGATGTCAACTCTCATATAAGCATAGAAGAAATGGACTTCTGGCAAATAAGGATGAAAGAGATGATAATGATGGTATATTGTGACTGCATGTATGTCCTTGTGTGCCTGTGTCAGAGTGTGTGTGTGTGTGTGTGTTTGTATGCGTTTGTGTGTGCTTGTGAGCGTGTGTGTGTGTGTGTGTGTGTGTGTGTGTGTGTGTGTGTGTGTGTGTACAGGATTGCCAGAGATAGACCTACAAAGAGACAGAAATAGAGGGCAAGAAAAAGGGAAAAAAAGAATGAGTCAGTTACATAATACCTACCAAACTCTCCATTTGTAGTGGTGCTGGCCGTGATCGGAGCATGAGGCAACACAGACGGGTGGTGGTGAGCTGGGTAGCTTGGGAAACCGGGTCGGAACAAAGCTGTCCCATGGCCATTGGTGAAGAATGATGGGGTGAAGTCCGGGGCAGGCCTGAAGGCAGGGGGCGGGGCCTGGTGGCGGAGGAACTCTGTGGCGGTAGGCACTGAGCAGTTGATGGATCTGGGCGACGTCAGGGTGCCAGGCTGGCTGGGCGTTTGGGTGACAGGAGGCTGGGGCTGGGGATTGGGGTCCTGGGTGCTGGGCGTGGCCTGGGTGGTCACGATCACACTGTGCGATGCCATTGCAGAAGCCTGAGGATGGTGGAACTGAGGTAAGTTTGGGTGTTTAGTTTTAGTAAGAGTTTTTGGCACTTGCAACACAATGAGGTCATATAAGTGCGGAAGATTGGGTGTTACAAGGGAGTAACAAACATAAAAAAAGAAGGAGGAGAGATCAGAACAATAGATGTTAGATAAGAAAGAAGGAGCAAGCCAAACCAGAGCACCCGCCAACCACCCATTACTTAGGTATAGATAAATAGAAAGTATTGCCAATTATTGGTTAACTTATTGAATCAGCAAAGCCATCAAATCGTAACAACAACGATAAAAAGCATGAGTGTAAACAAAATTTACAACTATGTAAATATATTATGCCGACTCAGTTCGATAAAAGCAGCTGTAGTAGGTAGGCCTATATGTGAGGCAGCCTGGTGGAATCAGGCTCTCGTCAAAATAATCAAAGTGAAGAAACTTGCATTTTTCCGCTGGTTTGTGAATTTTTATAAAATTTCTGTTTTTTTGGCTCAACACCTTTCATGCCCGTTAAAGAACTCATTTCTGTGTGGATTTTTCAGAAAAACGTTGATTAAATGCACAAAAAATAAATATTTCAGTTACCACGGACTCTTAAGCTAAGGAAATAACTAATGTTTTGCGGCCATTTTCTCATTAATGTTACCTCTGAAAATAGGTCACCCCGACCTCCTTCATTCACAAATATCTCGACTTGTATTCAAGATAAATGGATATTTTTTCATCAAAATAAAGACAAATGAACAAGCTTTAAGATGATACCAATAACTCTATGTGCCCAAAAATTGACGAGAGCCTGATTCCACCACGCTGCCTCACATATTTCAAGGCTCTCTTCAGCCCACCGCTCATGTGCGAACAGGCAATAAGGAAGACAACTCATGTGGCGGTAAATCATTCGTTGCTTTTTATTACAGTTACGTTCCTTGGCAGGCAATCCACCATTGGCGAGCCGTTTATTTGTGACTGACTTGACTAAAATGCTTGCCCGTCCCCTCTCGCTTTCTCTCGCTTTCTCTCTCTATCTCACTTTCTTATTCTCTCTTCCTCTCCATCCCTTCTTTCTCAGTTTTCTTGTTCTTCCTCTTCTTGTTCTTCTTGTTCTTCCTCTTCTTGTTCTTGTTCTTCCTCTTCTTCTTCTTCTTCTTCTTCTTCTTCTTCTTCTTCTTCTTCTTCTTCTTC